GGTCTGATGACCGACAAGCAGTAACTGTATACCCCAAGACCCCCCCCTCGACAAGCAGTAACTGTACACCCCAAGACCCCCCCCCCCCCTCGACAAGCAGTAACTGTACACCCCAAGACCCCCCCTTCAGGAAAAAAAAATCTGTCTCTGGGTTTGAGTTTACTTAAAGTCTACGCAAACATGGGAGGTAGGGTGGGTGGCTTGATCTTTGATGTTATGGGGAGGTAAGAGACACAACTCTCTCACTGCTTGTAAACTCAGGGTCACGTGACGGTCCTCACCGCCCGACGTAGAGTTGAGGGATAGGTTGAAGCAGTATACATATATATATATATATATATATATATATATATATATATATATATATATATATATATATATATATATATATATATATATATATATATATATATATATATATATATATATATATATATATATATATATTTGAAGCAATTCTTTATCTACGTCTCTATTTCTAAGTTTGCAAAGCAAGGAGATACATTCAAATATTGTAGCAACACCTAATCCTCAATCCCGTTCCCTTAACGAGTGCCTAGTTAGCCCATTAATTTTGTCCGCACCTTTAAAAAAAAAACGTAAATTATTCACATTAGCAGTTAACCACTAGTAAATCAAGGTATAAAATGTGGCTTGCTGGCTAATTTAAAGTAAAGAATTATTCTAAAATATTTATTTGTATTTTGTTTTTTTACAATTTATTTTGTCGGTGCTAACAGGGATCACCTGTGTGGGAACACCTGAAGAAGAATATTGTGCCAGAAATACCTGACGCGGCTTATCCTCAAATTACTTGATAACTCGCTTTTTGAAACTAAGATTACGGACGTGAAGAAAAATTTAATCATTTAAAGTATTTCTTTTTTTTTATCCTTTTGGAATTTATACAAAGAATCCGGGATTTTTTTCTTTTACTTTATGGTTGCCCTTATAAAGATGCTGTTGTGTTGGTTTCTATGGGTGTGTCCTATCCTTTCCAGCAATAGTTTTGATATTTTTTTATAACTAAATAAATATTTTAGGATTGTTTTGTAAAGCGTCTGAAATCTCTTCTAAAAGATCAGAGTGTCGTGTCAGTTTTCTCCCTTGTCTGTGGGTATGTCTCTTCTAAAGAATGCAATACGAGATACTGATAGTTAACAAATGAATGTCATTCCCATTTGGTAACCCGCACTATGTTTTCGGCGTGTACCTTCCAAAGCGTCCAGAGCCTACTCAGCCATGATTGGTACTCATCATATGTTTTGGGAAAGTAAATTTCTTGTTTACTACCACCCCCCCCCCCCCTTTCCTTTATTATGCCACGTTCTAGGAGAGACAGTTTTAGACACTACTTGACCGTCCATTCCAATAATAGAACACATCTACGGCACTATATGTCATACACTACAGCAACAATGTCAACGTCCACAGCCCCATACGTCCAACAATATAAGAGCAACATCTACAACAACAATGTCTACAGCCCCATTTGACCAACCGCATTCATTTCAACATCTGCAGAACTATATAACCAACAATGTGTTATTTTAACTCACGTTCATTTTCAATCTTTTTTAACAAAGATCAATACACCAAGATGGCTCTTACAATTTACTTCAGTCTATCACGTGTACTGGAATTCAAACATAACATAATTCAAACAACTACATTTCTGAGCTTGTGTTATGAGAAGGGACATAATTACCGTAACACCAATCACGTGAACTAGAAGGGGACATAATTTATTATTATTTTCTCCACTCGATCACATGATCTTGGCCTGCCTTTAGAAGCATGTCTTGAATCAGACAGCGAACTGTAGGCTTTGAGTGCGTGTCTCTAATCAACATGACCTGTTAGATTGTAAACAATTTATGACAAACATAAACTCTTTTATCCCCCCCCCCCCCCCACACTCTGCTATAAATAGTATCATCGTTGCCTCCCTTAGTGGACTAGCCGAACATGTTTTTTTTTTTTATTATGGGAGTGTTCCTGAATATGAACTTATGTAAAAGTAATCGCGAAACTAAGAAGTTTGGCCAGGCTAATCTAGTCGATAACACACACGATAAGGTCTGCGTTTGAGCACAAGGAGACACGCAGAGATAAGATAACAGCATAGAGAAGTTTGAATTCGCCATCTTGGTGAACGGGCGAAATAATGAATTCCTAGTTAAGTAGGAATTATTTATTTCGAAACTTAATTTTTTTTTTAAATTTCACCCAACATGTGATTTTGTTTTATGTTTTGAAGAAAAATTCGAATTAAAAGATAAGGATCTGCATGATGGTAATGTGATATGTTGCTGTTTAGCGTTTCCTAATAGGCTACTCTACAATAAATACTAAATGCATTCTTTGATTAACGTGTGGACACTTCTAACAATAAAAAAACAACGCAACCTATTAGGGACTTCAAAGAACACACTAAAACCACTTTACATCTTCTAGAATACCACTATCGAAAAACTACAACAAACAGAACCGCGGCGTGGGAAACGTATAAAATCCACTTACTTTTTATGTATGTTTATTGTGTATTTGTTATCTGCTTCTAACCTTAAAACTTATCAACGAGTCAGAGAGAAACTGTTTTAAAAATTGAAACTTTACAACTTATGTTATGGAATCTTTTTTGTGGTTATGACGTGTGCTGTCGTAATATTAAACACAAGCAAGCAGTTACGTACAAAAGTTAGTTTTTTCAGTCAAATTTCATTTTTTAAATACATGTCAAAATATTTTTTTTTAATTCGAATTTCTTATTAGTTCATATTCGATGTTCTATATAGACTGTTGTTGTTCGTGGATGATGAAGACTGAATGACAGGTGAACATATCGTTCTCGATTAATCTGGAATGGGTCAGATATCTGGTCATGTTCTTCAAGTGCCGCACAAATATCAAAGAGTTTGGTGTCGTGTCCGTCTGTTGGCGAATGACAGAAAGACTGGACGGGTTTTAGGTAGTTCTTGTACTAAAGGCAACAGTAGACTTCTTGCTTTTGTGGCCCCCTCATGATCAAAGGGCTGCAATCAAACCTCTCCGCTGGACTCGGCAACTGTTAGTGGACTGGTATTTGTACAACGTCTATGATAAATCTGGTTTAAGTATATGATAATATTGATGGTACAGTCTGTTGTTTAGGTTATTTAGAAGTAATAATGTCGCACAACTTAGTAGATTGTATAGCAGATTAAACTATTAAAATTAAAAATGCTTTTTTCTTTTAAAAATATATTAGATACTTTGTTCCAGAAAGTTTTGACTTATTAAATATAATCTTTTAACCCTAAAAAAAGGCCTTTAAAACGGCTAGTTCTTTCCACAAAATACTATCTTTCATTTCTAAAAATAACCGATAGACTCCTTTTTCCGCAAATTCTAAATCTTATTTCCATATTTTCTTTTAGAAACAAGCAATATATAGGTCTACTCAACTCTATATCTTATTTCTATATTATCTTCTAACAACAACCAATATATACCCACAAAATCTAAGACTTATTACCATTCTCTCTTTTAAAATAACCATATGTACCAACACATTGTAAATTTTATTTCCATATTATGTTTTAACAACAAACAATGTATACCCACAAATTCCAAACCTTATTTCCATATTTTCTTTTTAAAAACAAGCAATATATACTCATAAAATGTAAATCTTAATAATATACTATCTTTTAACAACAACCATATATACCCACACATTCTAAATCTCATTACCATATTATCTTCCAACCCCACCTGAAAGACAAAGCACTCAACAACTTGAGACGCGACCTAATCGGTGCGGGCCATATTGAAACAGCGTCACCCGATACCAAGCGACCCGTTCTTTAGACTAGTGCCAGGTAACAGGCACCTGGGACCCTCTGGAAAATTCCATGCCACAATACCTGATAACAATCTCTTGTGGTTATCTCCCCTAATCTTTACGACCGTTATCTCCCGTCTATGTTAGACAGTCATCTACCTGATGCCTAGTTGTGACCTTTCAACTTTTGACTAGCTGGTTCGAGGATTCGCTTTGTTGTTTTAGTTTAGGCTAAGGATTTTTTTTTTTACTGCGAGGTGGGCTAAAAATAAGCGGTGAGCTGTGTGTAGATCTATCGTTTGTACAAAAAAAAAAATAAGTATGTAAAATGTATATGTAAGTCTGTTTTCTTATCTGTGAGATTTTTAAAGTTGTGTTGCGACTGTAACGGTAAGATATGTTCATATATATTTATAGAGATAATAGTGACTTTATGTGAAATGTATACCATATCTTAGAGCTTGGTTAGGTAAATAGTAAAAGATTCAAGAGTCAAGTTATATTAAGTTAATATTGGCGGGGCTAAGGATTAGTTAGCAAAAACAACAAGATCTGTCTCAACGGTTTCTATTCTCAGAGAGTCATGTGACAAGACATTGATCAAATTAAATGTGAAAACTTTTTGACGAATTCAGTTTTGAAAAAAAAAAGTAAACATAAACATTGTGGTCGAATAATGAATTAAAATTGTTATTCTTTTTGTTAAGCATTGAAAGGATATTTTAATTGGTAAACATTTTTGTTGGTTTTGTTGGTTAATTGTGAATGGAAAAAACGGTAAATATTGAACCTAAATCCTGTTTGGTAAACATTGAACCTCGGTTACTTATGATAAAGAAATTCTGTTTGTTAAGCATAAAAACTGTCTGGCGTTGCAGTAATCTTTTGTTTGGAAAATCTGATGAGGAGTTTATGACTATGTCTTTCTAAATAAATTACACTTAACATTTTAAAAAAAAAATTTGTACAATTAAATTTTAAACTATTGATGAATGTATACAAATTAAACTTTTTCTCTACTTTTTTATTTCCTTTCTGTATTGGGAAGTTCGCTATTTTTTTATTTGAATACATTTTTCATACTTGATAATCAATTATTTTTTTTTGTCCGATGTATTGATGCAATGTTTACATTCAGTGTGAGTGCCTTATTAAAAATAAATTCTATTTGCAGACGATGAGAGCGACGAAGAAAGTGGCGCCCTGAGCCATGAGATGACTGCCGGAAGTGACGTCGACCCCGGCGCGAGGGAAGATGACGTAGACAGTTCCGGCTGTCCAGAGGAGGGGGAAACCGACTGGGCTCAAACTTCCGTCACGGGGCAGCAAACTCCAAATCTAGAACCGGAAGTAGATGCTCAACAAAATGGCGAAGACCCCGGGGTTGACTCCCAGCATTCTGATGCTTCTTCTGACGCCAACTTCGGCACTCACCATTGTGACGTCGACGATTCGCAAATCGCAAGACGCAGCCCCTTGACTACTGTCTTTCCGGAACTAGTTAACCAATCAAAACATGACATTGAAACAGACAAGCCAATCGCGCCGCTGATAAAATCGGAGCCTCCTCCCAGCCCCGAGCATGGCGGGGTGTCGAGTTCTTCCGACGTCCCCAGGAGCAACGCCCCGGCTTCGCTGTACACCCCCAAAATCAAAAGACGAAACAGGTCCCGGTCCCGATCGCGATCCAAATCCGGCGGCGTCTCCAGCTCGCCGGAAGCGTCGACTGCGTCAGCGGCGTTTCAATCCCGCGAGGAGGCGGAGCTGGCGTTAGTCAACCAGCTGCAGCTGCCCAGCGACGTGCTGTACCTGAGGGAGCAGGACATCAACATCCACGGCACCCCCAGCGTCGGATGGGTCGTCTGCTGCGCCATCCCCCTCCCGCAGGGCTCTTCGCTGGGGCCGTTCCAAGGTCAACTCGTCCCGCCGGAAGCCGTCAAGGTCGGGGATCTGATTGTGCAGGTAGGTGCTTTTCTAATTAAAAAAAAAAATAACGGCCAATGAAGCAGAGGAAGTAGGGTTTCTCTGATTATCCAGCCTCGGCATCAAGGTTAGTGTAGTCAGCGTTTATGCCAGGCTGTCTTTACTTACAGGGATAATTCAGGTACCATTCTGAGGATAGACCTCAAGGCTTTATGGCTTAGCAAAGATGTGCTTTACTACTCAACCTCTCTGTTCCATACTTTCCTTTTAACGATAATGACTAGAACAGAATTTTCGCCTACCCCTATATGTTAAAACAATAACTGTTGTTGGATGTACTAATTAATCAGATGATGCCATTACCTAGACCTGCTATTTAATTCCAACCTCTTTCTAGTCATGGTGCATTCTACCAAACGATGGTACCGTCTGCCATACACGTATACTATCGTCCCGGTGGCCATATGATCCTGACACACATTCTGAGGGTGATTTGCTACAGCCAGTCGTCCCTCCCACATCACTAAATATTGCCTTCAACTGCATCATTACTAGTACTACTTTCTAGTATATTTTCTAGTATATTTTCTCAACTTTGATAATCTGTGACGTAACCGTTTAAGGAGAATCCTTTTTTTTTACTGCCACTACCCTAATCACAACCATAACACCAACACCAGTTCTTAACCCTAACATCGATATCGAATCAAAACCTTTAAACACGATACTTTATTGATTTGGCGATTATCGAAGTATCGATATATCTTTTTTTACTGCCACTACCCTAACCCTAACCATAACACCAACGCTAGTTTTTAACTCTAACATCGATACCTAACCAAAACCCTTAAATACGATACTTTATTGACTTGGCGTTTATCGAAGTATCGATATATCTTTTTTTTTTACTGCCACTGCCACTGCCACTACCCTAACCACAACCTTAAAACCCACACTAGTTCTTAACTCTAACATCGATATCAAAACAAAACTTTTAATTCGATACAATACTTTATTGACCGGGCGATTATTGAAGTATCGATACATCTACATGCCGTTAGTATATGGCCTCACTGCCAGGTGGGTCTATCACGTGTCTAAACGTCTATCCTAAAGGGGGGGGGGTGTTACGTCATGGTCGTGACGTCACGCAATTGAGATCACGGCTGGCTAATCTCTGAACTTGCTGGATAAAACTGGGTCAAGCGTCGACAACAAGGACGTCTGATAAAAGATAAACAAAAAAAAAAAAAAAAGAAACAAAAACACAGCGACACTCGATAAGGGCAGAAATCAGCTCAGTCTACGGCAACAGCCCACGAGTTGGGGCACCGGGCAACATGGGCGCTGCTGTAGACCGGAAGTGGAAATGGTTGTTGGTGGACGGTGTGGTATTGGGTGGTGTTGACGTAGTTGGTGCAGATAACATGCATGTGTCTTATAATTTAACGCCCAGGACTAATAGACGCCGTTTGCGATTGTATGACCTAGTCTAATCCACGGTATGACCTACCCAACTGTATGACCTCTCTCATTGTATGACCTAACCTAATCCACTGTATGACCTACTCCATTGTATGACCTCGCCTATTGTATGACCTAACCATTTGTATGACCTAAACCAACCAATCGTATGATCTAACCCACTGTGCGACCTTATCCACTGCATGAAATAATCCATTATGTGATCTTACTCATTACATGCCCTAACCAGTAGTATGACCAAACCTAACCCATTGCATGATCTAATCTATTGTATGACCTAACTCAGTGTACGACCTAATCCACTGTATGACCTGCCCCACAACCTAAACCAGCATGTGACCTAACCAGTTGTAGACCTAATTGATTGTAGGACCTACCTCAATGTATGAACTATTCCATTGTATGGCCTATCCCATTGTATGACCTATCCCATTGCATGACCTATCACATTGTATGACCAAACTTTACTTGTACCTACTGCCTCAACCTTTAACCGAACCTTAACATATATCCAAACCTAGCCCAAAGACATGTTTTGCACCACTAGTATATCCTACGGCCCTGAGCTCACTCAGCCCTATTTGGTTCCCCAGCTTTTCGTTGAAAAACAACCACATACACTCTCCTTCATCTGAAACATTGACTCATAGATCACCATATTCTAATTTAACGATGAGTAATACAACTTTCAAAGTCAAGTGTTGTCTATGTCTATGTACCCAAACACTGAACTTACTAGTCTCGCCCGATCATGCACTAATATGCACAGACATGTATAGATTGGGTTATCTCTACCTTGAGACGAAAAGATACGGGGCTCCGATTGGAGTGATTGGAGTGATTGGACCTGAGATAGCTCTCCCCTAGCTGAAGTACAGATAAAGATGGCCGTCTTGTGATTGGCGAAGAGATCTGCTATCTTCGATGACTCCGGATGATTGCATCTATCTGTTTGTTTACTTCAAAAATTATCTTTTTGTTTTTTGGTCTTTCTTTTTCGATTGGCCTGATTGTATCTTTTCAAACATAAATAATGTGTATGGCCATGTAGTAATTTTTAAAACGTGACTTGTATGTACATAGTTGTAAGTATAATTCGCATTGTACGAGGGGGGGGGGGGGGGCATCCATAAAGGGAGTCGCGCATACTCGAGCCGCCTTCTCATTGTCGTTACATGGCGTCTCAAAAACAGACCCCCCCCCCTAACATGACACCCTATCTTAAAACCTCACAATTTTGTTAAATATTAACACGTTCGTTTTTTTCCCCCTAACTTACGTTGGAATATTTTTATATTCGAAAGATACGCTTTGTTATTGTTACATATCTTCACCCTGACACATATAGCACATCGTAACAAAAATGTAACACCCCCCTCCCTTTTCACACACCCAGGCGTGACGCCATTTAAAATTGCCTAATAGTGCTATTCATTACTTGATTTCACATCGAGTGATCGGCTCACCTTACATAATAGCATATCATTAAAATACAAACACAGCCACCCATATACTGTGACTTCTCAGACACTAACTGCCACTATCCAGACACTAACTGCCACTATCCAGACACCAACTGCCACTATCCAGACACTAACTGCCACTATCCAGACACTAACTGCCACTATCCAGACACTAACTGCCAATATCCAGACACTAACTGCCACTATCCAGGCACTAACTGCCACTATCCAGACACTAACTGCCACTACCCAAGACCCTAACTACCCAGAATCTAAAACTTCACCCTCCATTACGTAAGCTACCAACATAAAACAAATACCCTCGTCTATTTACAGAACAAAATACCCAATAACCCCTCTAAAGGTCACTTCCTCTCACCCTTGACCCCTCACCCCACGACTCACTCTCCACTTCCGCTTTGACCCCCATTACCTCAAGCAATCAATGAACCAATGATTTATCGCCCCGACGGTGTAGATAGTACCTGATTGATTTAATACAATCAGATTAGAATTGATTAGTTTCGATTAATTGCCTTATCTAGCAGGTCGCGTTGATTCTTAATAATCTATTTTTAGACTCGACAAACAAGATTTATTTATAGCTTTATTACCACGTGTTTTTTTATGTAGATTTAATTTAGATTTTGGCTAAGCATTAGAAATACGTAAGTTAGGAAAGAATGTAATTTCTAGGAATAATTGTATTTTTTTTTTGTCAACTTTGAAAATTCTATAATTTAGTATAGGGGTAGGTTGGGTAAATTAGCGATTTATTCCACCGATATACTCACATAGTAATAGGCTATATAAAAGATATTGCATTAAAAGGAGCTATGATACGCCCACTCCATATATTCTCTGAGACGGACTTTTTTTTACAGAAACAACATCCCACACATTATTCTCTATTCCAACAACATATCATTTTTCTCCATTCCCCTCCCTCTTCCTTCACTTTCTCTATTCTGTCCACTGTAAAGAATAACTACCTTGAAATCCACTTAAACACTTTTAACTTCCCACTCCACCCTTACATCTCCATCCACTACCTAACACTATCCACTACCTACACTGCCCTCCTCCCACCCGCCACTCCAAACTTAAGGCCTCCCAGCCCACTACTTAACATTAACCACTACCCTCACTCTAAACTTACATCCTCTCCATCCACTACCTAACACTAACCACTAACCCCGCCTTACATCCTCTCCAGCCACTACCTAACACTAACCACTACCACCCACCCACGCCACCCTTACATCCTCTCCATCCACTACCTAACACTAACCACTATCTCCACTACCCCCCCCCCCCCCACCACCACCCCACATTGACCACCCCCTAACCTCCACAAACCCTCTGTTCCAGTTCACCAACAAGAAAGGCCAGCAGGCTTTAATGAACGTTGCCGGACAGTCCGGCGGATGGCTGGCACTGCTCCGGTCGGCCGGCATTGCCGCAGACCGGAACACGCACGTGTACTGGGAAGGTGAGTACTCAACATGTGCGTGTGTAGGGGGGGGGGGGGGGGGGTGGTGGTTAGCAGCACACTATCAGGGGGTCTAATTGTGATAGACTGTGGGTGGGGGGGGGGATTGGGCGGTCACTCCGCGGGTGTCTGTTGAGGGTCAGGCTAGTCTGTGTCTACGTTTGGGGGGGGGGGAGGGGGATGTAATTAGTTTCTAATCAATACATGCTTGAATGCAATTATCGTTGGGAGTTAAGGAAGGCTGTGGTGGTGGCAGGGGGGGGGGGGCATAATTTTGGCTGTTTACCACACTCGCTGTCTAAGACGTGCTGTCTAAGGCGTGCTGTCTAAGGCGTGCTGTCTAAGCAGGTGAAAATTACTCAATCATCCCCTCGCCTGTTCATTTCGTTTCTTTCGTTAAAACACATTAGTGGAGGAGGCCAATGGTTTCACATGCATCGGTATCCATTTTTGTCGGCCTTGGCCGAGATAGATCGAAGGAATGCTAATCCATACATGTGGTCCCAACTTCAGTACAAAGGAAACCAGAGTTAGTATTCATTTTGCCTAAGGTGGTTCAATCTCGGAGTTATTAATACTAGATGGGTTGCGGTCCCAGGTATTAAATGGGCCTCAGCTGACCTCCCCCAGCCCCCCCCCCCCCACAAAATAAAAAAAACTCCCGCAGTTTAGGTAAATCACGTGATTCCTGTCCACTGTTTAATATTCCCGTATCGTCTATCCCCAGGGGGTAGGATCTGGTGTGAGGTTGTCACCGACATCGACATCGGCACGGAGCTGCGGGCGTCCTTCACCTTCCAAAGCGAGGACGAGTGTGACGACACGGAGGGGGACGAGGAGCCCGCCGTCACGGTCAAAGAGGAGGTGAGCCCGGGGGTAGAGGGCGCCCTGAGCCACCAGGCGCTCCAACAGCCGGCAGCCACTGGACATGGTAGGTACCCGCCCTTACTCGCTGTGTGAGAGACACTTTTAAATACCTGTTGCATATAGTGTTATTTCAGCTGTCCTTAGCAATCTCTAACCCACTGTAAGAAACTGAATGACTTAGGTATAGTAGATCATTAAGGTTGAATATAGACTGTAGTCGTTTATTCACGTTGACACTTTCAGCTGCCCTCATCTACGGCTGTCCATTCTGTGGTGTCCGGTTCTCCAGTCCCAGGACTCTACAGGGCCACTTGAGTTTTTATTGTTCCAAGAAAACCTCGGAGCAGATGGTCACACCGACAACCAAGGACAAGGATTCAAAGGGAAGCGACTCAAGTAAAGCATCTAGCGAAAGTAAGATTTACAGAGTTATTTCTCTTTGCTTAACTTTTATTATTTTTATATTTTAAAAAAAAACATTTTTTTTTTCGGGTAAAGTTTATAGGCCTATATATAATTTTAAATTTTACTTTTTATATACTAAGCTTCAAAACTATATATCAATAATATAAAAAATTGGTTTGTTTTAATGTATTTATAATTTCATTCTAAACAGCTTCAAAGGTTGGAGGTGATCCTGAGACACAGGCGCAGAAAGCCGAGTCTAAAAGTCTAGACAACAACGCCTCGGACCAATCCTCTCAAGAAAAAACTGGAGTCAATGGCCAGGTTTTCAAATGCAAACACTGCAACTACAAGGCTTACAAACTGAGCAGCCTTAACCGGCACATGCGCATGCACAACAACGACAAGATGAAAGCGGCCAGCAGCTTCAGCCAGGAGACGGCACTGACCGTGGTCAAGTCGCCCGCGCTGGAGACCTTCTGCAAGGAGTGCAGGATCCAGTTCTCCAGCCTCCACACCTACCGCTGCCACAAAGAGCACTACTGCGCCCAGAGGAGGAAAAAAGCCCTGGCCAACCCGTCAGCGTTCGCCGCCATGTTTCATTCGCCATTTTCTTTTTCCGAGACCGGCAAAGTGGGCGTGCCGTCGGCTTTACAGATGGCGACGCTCAACCAAGGTGGGATTATCTTACCCTCAAGGGAAGCCACTCTCCCCGGCGCCGCGGCAGTGATACTAACCGCCCCTATGCTGACAGCTTCCGGCTTGGCGAACATTTCCATTTCTTTACCCGCCATGATCATGCAACCGTTATCAGGACCGGAAGTCCGCGGTAAAGACAGTAGCCCGAGGACCAGATCACCCCCGGATCATCACCATCCGCTTTCTTCAGAAGCTTCACCCCGGCCATCGCACACACATTTTCTGAGCAAGGCGCCGTCGACTTCTCAAAAAAATCATTTCAATTGGTCCCACGACCAAGCTCACAAATCAAAAGACCACAGCTCGATTAAGACGGAACGTTTTGACGAAGACCACCCACTGGATCTGTCAATCAACAGAAAAGAAATCAAAACAGAAGACGGTAAGCCGTCTGCTGAGACTTTCCTCCAACCCGACAAAGACGGGGGTCATCTAGAGCGGAGGAGGTCCCAGCGCTCCACCTCCCCGCTGGGGCTGGACATTTCCCGTCGAGACCAAACCCAGTCTCCCCCGAGTCCGATTCGCTCGTCTTTACTGACCCAAGAACAACTTCATCTCCTGAGAGAATCTTTGCCGGCCCAGCATTACCTTAGATCTGATCACCTGACCCCCATCACCGCCCCTCCCCAGCTCCTGCAGCACCCCTCACTCCTGGTCTCGACGGCCGGGTTCCTCCCCGCCCCCGGCCTCCCCCACCTGGCCATGTCTCCACGCACCAAACCAGCGCCAATCTCACCCTCCGGCCACCCCAACGGCATCAGCAAATGCGCCGACTGCAACATCGTCTTCTATAAACACGACAACTATCTCATACACAAAAAACATTACTGCTCTGGAAAGAGGCGGCTGAGTAACACCCAGATTTCAGTTGTCGACGCCCCTGTTGAGCCGGAAGCAAGAAATCTCCCTGAAGCGATTCCCAAGGAAGAACCAGTCTCAGAAACCAGCACCGACTCGCAAAAATCGCACTCGTCTCCCAAACTTAAAGAGACCCCCGCGGTCTTATCCCCGTCTAAACATTCCAACGAGCTCAAATACAAATTTTATTGCGTGCCGTGCAGAATCAAATTCAGCAACGCCAGCATTCTCGAGGCCCACAAGGAATATTACTGCCCGGCTGGTAAAGACAGCGAGCATTCTGTGATACTTCACACCACCTCGGACTCATCCTCTTTGAACTCTCCCAAAGAAGAACCGCAGCAGTCGTCTCCAGATCCCCCTCTAGAGGAGTTCACGTGTTCCAGATGCAACAACGTCTTCACCTCAGCCAGGCTTCTGCGACTTCACATGTGCCACGAAGGTTTCCCGTGTCCGCATTGTGATCACGTGTCCATCACGGACAACCGATTGGCCGAGCACATGAAGGTGCACGCGCCAACCAAAGCGTACAGGTGCACGATCTGCGGTTACCGTGGCAACACGGCCAGGGGCATGCGAATGCACGGTAAAACTCACGTCGACGAGGGTCTAGACTTCACCGACGAGAACATGCTGGAATACCACGAGCCGGCGTTGGTTCCGGTCACCCAAAGCCCCCACCCTGGGGCCGCCACGGACACCGAACTCCTGAGACTGAAAAACGAACCGTACAAGCGGCGCCGGTCCAGAAAAGCGTACGAAAAATTCGATTTCCCTTTGCCGAAAGTGGACATTCCCCAGACCTGTCCGCTGTGTGGACAAAATTTCGCGAACTCGGATTTCCTGGCCTCGCATTACAAAGTCCACGAGATAGCGGCCTCGCAGTACATAGCGGGCCTCATGCATTGCCTCCACTGCGCTTACATCGGTAAAAATCCTGATGATCTGCGCTCACACTTCGAAGCCAACCACAGAGGGAAGAATAAAAGAAGAAGGCTGTCGTCTGCCAGCACTGAGGAAGACCAACAGGGCGGAAGCAGCAGCAGTCCTGACCTGCGTCAAACGAATCCAGATTCTAACACGCAAGAACCGTCAAGTTCCAGAAGAATGGTCTTGGAAGATCCCAACTCACCGGAAGAGGAAGAAAAATTTTCGTTTAGAAAAAGTTCAACAGAGTTAAGCTCTTCGAGTCAGCTTTTGAACAAGGTGAAAACAGAACCGATGGATGAAGACGAAGCTGATGACTCCTCGAAACTTAATCATTTCCTGCAGATGCCAAACCCTAGTCCGGAGTCGACGAATTCGGACTCGGAGAGACATTTTTCCAGTCAGTCTCCGTGTGAAATCAAGCGTAGCGTCAGCACCCCGCTCAACGTCACGGACGACAACCAATCGCAGGAGAACACGGAAGCGATGGACACGGCCTCGTTTCAAGAACACGAACCAGGGGAGATCATCAACCATTTTCACATCAAATCCGAAACTTCCGAGGAATCCGTTTTCCGAAGCTGCAAGAATTCCGTGACGGAAACCCGATTAGAGGAGAATAATGCTTCGGCGTCAGCTCTAAAATCGCCCAACTCTGACGGCAACCATTACCCGCACGCTTTCAAGGGACATCACTCTAGACTCAATTTAAAACAAGAGCCAGCGGACCATCTCAGTGATTCCCCCCACCCTGCTTCACCCGATGACAAACTTGAACCCCGGGTCCCTTCCAACTTTTTACTGAACTTCCCCCCACAACCGAACCCAACCACGCCCCAAAAACCCACACAACCAACCTTCCCCAAACTGGAGCCTCCTACAAGCGTAGTAACCCCTACCTCGTCGGTCTTCCCCTCTCCCTTGCCCTTCCCCTACGCTCCCCCGCACCTGGCTCTTCCATATTTCTTCCTCCCCTCCCACCACTCGCCCTCCCCTCCCACCAGCTCGATGAAAACGGTTGTTCGTGAGGACAGAGCGACCAGTGGCCGGTACTGCCAAAACTGTGATATCTCTTTCTCCAAACATTCAACGTATCTGGCACACAAGAAATATTACTGCACTGCCCGCCCCAGGGGGGAGGCGCAACCATCAGCCAAGGCATAGATGTGTGTGGAAAATCTAAGCCAAACTTCCATTCACTATATATATACATACATTATATATATATATATATATATATATATATATATATATATATATATATATATATATATATATATATATATATATATATATATATATATATATATATAGTTGAGAAATCAATGACAGTATTGTTACAGTGTTTATATCTAGTTTCTGAACTTGATCCCTTTATTTTAATTTTTTAGTTTTGTACATTGGATTCATGTTAGAGACTTAAAAAGGAAGCTACAATAGGGCTGGTAAGTAGGTCACCAACAAGTTATATGGCTCATGCAGGTTTTATTGAGCCGTAGAACTGGTTGGTGACCTACTTACCAGCCCTATTGCAGATGTTTTCAATAGCATTGAGATGTGTTCGTTAGCTTTGGGGACAATTTCGAAGTCTGATAATAAATGGTTAGAAACAGTTTATTTAAATTAAGACCTTATACTATTTTAGGATAACTTTTTTTTTTTTGTGATTCTCAAATCCACTTTTGTCTATAGAATATGTACAATAATAATCTTAAGTTAAAACTATTTGCAAAACAAACAAGTTATTTTTTGCAAAATTAAACTATGTAAACCAACTATTTCAATATTCAAAACACATGGTCTGTGGCTGCATAATGTATTACTAAAAATTTGCACCCGAATATTAGAAACTGAATATGTAGCTTGGTATCAAAATGATGGAGCAAATTGTTTTTGTTCAATGAACTTGTGTGTGTTCAAATCTTTAGTGAGAGCTCCGTCACATGGAGTTAAAAATATTGACGGTAAAAGTCAAACAGGAAGTAAAGTCTTCCATTATGTTCATAACTTTTCATGATTGTGTATTTGATTTAACTTGTTGTTTGAAATAAACGTTGTCATCCTTCAAATGTTTTTTTATTATGATCAATGTATATTGGACCAACAGGATGAAGGTTTAAATCAACGTGTATGTAACATATTGACGAAAAGTATTCAAATATGATGTTGGTTTTTTGTTCACATTTTAAAAGTATGGTTGTGATTTTATGTACACTATTGTTAACACTTTTTGATTTTTTTTTTTAATTCTTTCATTCAAGAGAAGATAACACGGTTTCTCGATTTATCTCTCCTTGTCATAGCCCATTTTAAGAACTAAGCTGTTTGTTGTTTGTTTGTTTTTTAACTATTATTTTAATGGTTTCAATTCAAATTCAAACTTTCAAAGCATTAACGATATTTATTTACCAGCGCTTTTAGGAAATAATTTTTAAACAGAATTATATAAACTATGCAACAATAAAAATAGAAACTCAATTATAGTAATGAAAATAAAATATTAATTATATGAATAAAAAAGTTAATGAAATATTGTATCTGTTTAATAATAAAAATGATAAATGTTTCATTTTTAAAAAGATAATTAATATTACAAATAAAGGTAAATAGCGATTTAAGAAAAGTAACCTTATAAGCATAAAAAAACAAATAACATTTAGAAAAATCTGATTATATCATGGATTGATTAAATTTACGATAATTTTATGTACTATAGTAAAATTATGAAAATTAACTGTAGTAAAAGTGATAACATTTTTTAAATTTAAATATTGTAAATAGTATTACAAAAATGTTAAAGTATTTTATCATGTCCTTTTTTTGTGTTCAAATTTAAAAGAAAACCCATACAGTTATATCTTTTGTTTTTAAATTTTTGTTTTGTTAAAAACAAACTACTTTTTATATCAAGAAACTAAGTGAATTTTTTTTTAATAATTTTAACCAGTGAATCTGATCTTTATTTTTATCAGCGAAACTCTCTACACATACAACCACACCCATTGACGGTTGTAGTATAGTTTTTTTAGGGGGAAGGTTTCAAATCATATGTAAAACCCATATATATATATATATATATATATATATATATATATATATATATATATATATATATATATATATATATATATATATATATATATATTGCAGTCTCTCCTCTCCCCCACCTATGCACCCCTTAGATCCGCCATTTTTCTCATCTATTAGTCCATGTTCAGTCAGTCCGTCATTCGGTCTGACGCCGTCACTGTGGAATCTCTTAGCCTCAATGCTGCCAGCGAGTATCGTATGTACCATGCTTTATTTATTCTGTTGGAAGGAAGAGTTCCGACGTATTTTCTCCATCAAGTTTTTTTTTTTACTTCTGTCCATGCTATTTTTAGTCTCGGATTGATGTTGTTTATTCAGTGAAGAGATGCATCAATAAATTTGCATTGAAATATTTGACACTTGTTTGTTTTATATTTTACTTTTTTTTTTAACATGTACACGTGAGTGGGTGGGTGGGTGGGTAGGTAGGTAGGTATGTAGGTAGGTAGGTAGGTAAGTAGGTAGATAGATAGATAGATAGATAGATAGATAGATAGATAGATAGATAGATAGATAGATAGATAGATAGATAGATAGATAGATAGATAGATAGATAGATAGATAGATAGATAGATAGATAGATGGATGGATGGATGGATGGATGGATGGA